CTATATTATTTTGGCTGGAAATGATTTACAGCTGGTTTTGTTTGACAATTGACACAGTAACATAGTGTAAAGCGCGATATGAAACAGCATGTTTAATCCTTGCGCTATTTTAATTGAATGTAAATGGAGTCCATTCTGGAGTCCATACCAGCGACTCCAAAATTAGGATTCGAGAATTGGAATCGACTCACAAAAAACCCGGAACCAAACACCCCTACACCTTAGCAACCACTTAGCAAACGCTTTATCAACCTCTGTGCTTCCTGCCAACTGCCTTTGAGTTCCAGTGCAGTCACGTTGACTTTCTCAAGCCAACATCAAAGTTTGTCAATGAACTTTGGGTTCTAGTTTTATTGTTGTTATACTGTGGACCTCCTAATTCTCATTGAACTGGAATGATCAATAAAAGTTTGAGTTATATTTAAAACAAATGAATAAATAATTGTGTATCAATATAAAAAATGGACACTGTCATGATCGTCAGAAATATAATAAGGAATATTTATGTTTCAAGTCAGGATAAGGGCTTGCATGTGTTCTTATGTTCTATCCCTTTTATACAGATGCAAAAGGACTATCAAACCCATCAGAGGTGGAGGCGTTAAGGGAAAAAGTGTACGCATCGCTGGAGGGCTACACCAAACACAACTACCCGGATCAGCCTGGAAGGTACAGTAGAGTCTGCAACACCAGTTTCATATTTTATTGAAGCACTTCTCTGCCTTTTCAACAGTGCAAACAGATATAAAATGTACAGTATATTGATATACTTAATAAAATAAGGCTGCAAAATTTCATTTTTGATCTTTTGCTCAAACTATTAACTTAAAAACACTGCTTTTATTGGAAACAAACAAATGCAAACACAGCACAGGCACTTTACTAACAATAAAACACACAATTAAAGGTGCAGCATGTTAGTTTGACACCCAGTGGTTGAACTAAGTATTGCACTCCTAAATCAAAACACATTTTAACTCTGATCCTCCTCTGAGTCCACAAAAGCGCAGGTTGCCAGATTGAATTAAGTGTGCCTGACTATTAGGCCTAAGGACTAATTTAAGGCTGATTTTAACCGATTTATTAAAAATATATAAAAAACAATGACATGCAATATTAGAAATATTTTCCATATAAAAAACTAGTTTTTATGTCAACCAGCACCTGAAATTTCTATTTTAGAAACGGCTTCTATTTCTCAGAGGTGAACAACAGGATAAATGACAATGATCACCTCAGGTACTCCTCATGTGCTTTATTCAGTATTAAATACTAATAATGCAAGTTTGAATGTCATTTTACATGACGTTTATTGCCACACTACTGAAAGCAGCAGCAGATTTGACCTGTTCTTAAAAATAAAATAACCCCTTTAAAATTGAGCTTTACAACTGTGACTCATGCCAACACATATCAGTGATTTAGCATGTACATTTAATAATTTTAAAGAAGCTTAATATATATATATTAGATTAGATTCAACTTTATTGTCATTACACATGTACAAGTACAATGCAACAAAATGCAGTTTAGGTCTAACCAGCAGTGCAATAGCAGCAAGTGCAGGATACAGGAATAAGTTATAAAGTGCAATTATAGAAAACTATGGTGATATTTACAGATGGATGTACTATGAACATTATATACAGGTTGGATAAGCTATGAACAGATTTACAATATATGAATATATGTGCAGGTTGCTATTAATAATCAGTAGTGTGCAGATAGATAAACATGATTACAAGTGTATATGTTATAATATATGAATATATGTACAGGGATAGATAAACATGATTACAAGTGTATATGTTACAATATATATATATATATATATATGTACAGGTTGCTATTAATAATCAGTAGTATGCAGATAAATAAGCATGATTTCAAGTGTATATGTATAGTGGGTGTGTACATAATTACAAATGCCCATATGCAGTGGGTACGTACAGTTCAATAAGTAAACAGTTCAATGTGGTGCAGTGAATGTGCAAATTTTAAACGTGCAAATGTTAAACAGTGCAGTTATTGCGAGGAGTTTAAGTTAGAGGAGAGTGGGGGGTGTATTGGGGGGCAAAAGAGTCAGTGTGGGGCAGAGTTCAGGAGGGAGACAGCTCTGGGGAAAAAGCTGTTCCTCAGTCTGCTGGTTTTTGTCCGGGGGAGCCTGAAGCGCCTGCCGGAGGGCAAGAGAGAAAACTGTCTGAGCAGGGTGAAAGGTGTCCTTCAGAATACTGCGTGCTGGCGATCTCATATGTATGTGTGTGT